CAAGAAATGTTTCATTCTAATATATTTCTATATATAATATTGTAATGGATTAGCCAATCTGTATCCGTAACAAATACAAATTAAACTGACCCTCTACTACTTTTACTAAAAATCAAATGCAACAAAGACAACAAGAGAAATAATCGAATAAGGAGATATTTCAGTATGTGTCTATATTTCTGAGATGAGGTATTATGTACACTATTTACATTATTCGGACTATTGTTGCCATATTTATTACAATGTTTCGGCCGTTGTACACTCCGGACTTCTTCAGGTGGTTGGACTGTTGAATTGAACCCTTTATTTCACTCACTGGGGTAGACTGTCCTAGTTCTACGTGCCATGTCTAATGTTAATATCCTTCTCAAAGTTCTCCACCTTAACTAGGTATGGAACTCTCAGTCTTCGAGTCCTGTAACTGGATCTAACCAACGCCATTATCCACTGTGCCACGTGTCCTTGAGGACATCTGTGTATGAATTTCTGGGTATTATAAACCTAATGTCTTCAGCAAACTTTTTTTTACCAGTGCTCATATTGCAATTTTTGCTGTTATCATTGCATGTTTTTACCAGAGCTCATATTGCAATTTTTGTTGTTACTATTGCTTTTCTCTGGCACTCCTTATTACTGGTTCCCATATTATATACATTTCTATACTTGGTCGGCTCAGGAGATTTTTGTGGCCTAGCAGAGAATATTGTAATAAATATGGTGACAACGATGAGGACAATAGTCCGAATAATGTAAATAGTGTAGGCAGATATTTGTTTTAACAGAAAATATTTTATATAACAACAAGTACACATGATATAATAAAGTTATTTAAAACACTTTAGAGTTCTTGGTTGTGTGATCAAGAGTAATTTAAAAGGTGTTATGCTATAGATCAGGTGAGGATTTAAACAGGTTATGTCGATGGTAAAATTGAATGAAATAGATTGCTTGACTTACTGTAGAGTTGTCTTGCTTCGACTGCTATAGTTACGATTAAGATATTGAGTGAATTGGTTTATGAATCTCGTCTTGGTTGAATTGGTCACTAGATGAGTTGATGTTGAAAAGAAATTGAATTCCATAAGCCAAGTTGATGTTAATAAAAATTAACTTTTAGCGAGGAAGTTGGGTTTCATGGATTCGTGTGACGAGTTGATTATTTTAAGGATTCACTAAGTTGTGTCAAAGTTTCATATTTATGAGTTTTCTTGATCACGTGGGAGGCTTGAGAGAATGTTTACCGATATTTGGCACATTGAACTCTGAACAGGTCAACTCGAGGTCAACCATGCAGCCATAGGCAGAAACAACATGACATTACTATTTATGGACCAATCAGAAAGCATTGTTTCATACTGAACTCTGGAGCTGATTTTAATTGGTTCAACGCAAACTGAGAATACTTAGCTGTGATCCTCTTTTAACAGGTTTAAAATAGAAAATGTAGAAATCTAATTCTACAATATAAAACCTTATAATCAAATTGCAAGTTAATAGAAGAATTGCACAACTTTGCCTCCTTTTATTGGGCTTATTAACAGAAAATATATTAAATCTCATCTAATAACATGTCAAGTATTCTAGTTATATTTTAGAACAAATATCTAACTTGAAAGGAATTAATATCCTTACAGTTAGTATAGTCAGAGAAATGACATCGCAAAATAACCAAAGAATTCTATTAACATTTAAAACTAAAACAAAAACTGAAACAAAGAATCTATCAAATACACTATTCCATAAGAGCCTTACATTAGTTGCAATGGAAAGCACTTGAAAAGTATATCTAAAGTTTGAACAATTATCACTTATAATTATTCACTTCAAAGGTATTTTTTTAAAATATACAAAAAGATATTAAAATATTCAGTGAAGAAAAATTAATCTTCTCAAATATAGAGGTGCAAGAAAACATTTATTTATATCTCTGCTTATCTATTTTCAACATTCTTGCTTAGAAAAACTAAATAAAATTCCTGGCCATTTCAAAACATTTTTGTATATTATATGCAAAAGGGATCATTAAACATCACCCAGAATTGATGATATATGATCATTCAATTAGCAATGTTTTTAAGGATATCCAGGAGTGATTGCTGTCACATAACTAGTCATAAATAACATTTCTGTTAATCAATAGATCAATAATTTCTTGTGATTATCTGTAATCTGTTAGCTGAGCAAAGAAAGCAGCAGTTTATAAATGTGCATATGCGAACAAAAAAGGAGAAAAATATCCCATAATATTTTTAAAATATAAAAAGCAGATAAATCACAGTCACAAAGAAGCAGAAGCACAAAAGACTAATAAGTTGGAAACATTTTTCAAATCTAATCTTTAAAAACATCTATAATTAATGGACAGACTAGGTAGGGGCGATAATCAAGTCAGCTTCAAATTGCAATCAGTATCTATGAAAATAGTAACATCACTATGACATTTAGAAACTACAATTAAAGACTACAGAGGTTAATTCATTATCTTCTGTGACAATGAATAACCCAATGTATCAATAAGTTCACTTAAAATACTTCTTCTACAGGAAAATAATTCCTAAATCAAAACAACAATGATGACTTGATTATGATCAGTTAAATATTATTATTTATTCTTATACATGTTTTAAAGCAATTCTCCAACACAAAAGGTTGCCATTTTTTCTTTTTCCAAGAGAAAAAATTGTTCTTATAAGACACTAGAAAAAGGGACAAGTACTAACCAGAAAATACAAATTTTTGTATAAAATTTGTTTGAATTGTAATACTTTCTGTCACAGCCAGAACCATAGTCTGGAATTTCTGACATTGGCAAAATGCTTTGTAACTATTCAGTTTATGAAGGTCAAATGCACCAAAATTAATGAAAATCAAATATTTCAACATATGTTGTAACTCTTTAACCCTTTGAACTGGATATTTCAGGATGAACACTATTTTACTATAACCAAGTTTAAGTTCAACATTTCATGTTTTGGAAGATCAAGTACTAATAATAAAAAGCTTAATATAGCAGCCATTCACAGCCTTTGTTTTATTGGAATTATGAGATATGATTAAACAAAATTGTCTGCCCCCTGAAGTGAAGTTTAATTTTTTTAGACTCGATTTTTTTGTGAATTTCAAAATAGATTTGACAAAAACATTCCTAGTCCAATTCACAAAAAGCATAATAGATCTACTGCATGAGAAATAGTAAAGGTGTATCTGAGGGCCAATAAATTAAGGGTTCAATGGGTTAACAGAAGGAAAATTTAAATATATATTAGTAAGCTACTGATACTCAAAATATAGACAATACAGCCACTCCTCAAAATTAACAGATATTATCAAAATAAGTAAGTAAAAATGCCATCAGTGACACATTTATTCAAAATACAAATTTTACAACTAACAACAATTACCAAGCAATTGAGGATATGATCTTTTGTTAGTTGACAAAATTCAAAAATTACTTTTGTTTGAAGAATTACTTCCCTTACAATACAACTGCTAAACAACCTGATTCTAGCAACATGCTGTAGTTTGCATATCAAAAAACGCTCAAGAAGCTGAACAACCTCCATAATCCATTGCTAATTCAAAATTGATAATAGAGACACAAATTAAAATAAAATCTTTTTAGAGTTTAATAATAATTAGGTTGTCTTCTGAATCACTGAAAAGTCAAAATTCCTGTTTTTCTTCAGAAAATTTCACACAAGACTTCCAACATTTTTTTTTTAAAGAAGACATTTTCAGTTGGATATTTAGGATCTTCAAATCAGTTAACCTAAATGCAGTAAACGGGTGTGAAAAGATATTTCAAATAAACCTGCTTTACTGAGAAATAAAAAAAATACTATTTTTTGATCTTGGACAAACAAGTCAGATAAAAAGACTTCAAATTATTATAATACACACTGGATCTTTCTCCCCTCCAAAAAAAACCTCTCTTCTAATTTTCTGTTGTGATGCTGGTAAATAGAGAGATGAGAAAACAGGCCAAATGAGGTTTATATGTTGGAAACCATTTTAACCTAAGCAAGGCTGAGTAATTTCATTATAGAAACCAATCAATTTAAAAGAAATGAAATGCTGCTGCAAATTAATCAACTTGGCAAATTAGAAATAACATTTAACAAACATGCATGACTTTATAGAGCAGCTAACATCTCAAATTTCAGATTTTAAAACTTGTACACACAGAAATGCACACAAGCATGCTAAGATTAGCAAAGCTAAAAACACAGCATAATATTTTTTTTTTAAATTATAAAAGATTGCAGTGGAAAAAAAAAAAGAATGAAAAGTATTTTATACTAAACTTTATAAAAACTTATTTACCAAAATATTATTTTAAAAAAATCCTTCACTCAAACTTGATTGTGTTAATGATATACAATCATAAACAAATCAAAGTTAATTGTTTCAATCCACAGCTAAAGATACCAATTAATCCAACCTACTGTCAGCATTTCTGAATTCATCAATTTCAATAAGAATTGTTTCTAATAAAATTTGAATTTTTTTCTTGTTTCTAACCAAATTTTTTAATTATGAATTTTGATTAAATGTTAATGCAAATCATTGAAAGATCACTTCTATAGGAAACTATTTGCAATGAATTTCTACAATAAATAACTTCAAATGTGATGTTAATTTACTATAAAAACCAACAGCAAATTCAATATATTTCAAATGATTTGAAATATATTGAATTATAAAAGAAAAGCCTAATAGGAAAAAAATGTAAAGAAACCTTTTTTGCAATGTGGCAAGTTTGATAAGAGCAAGAGAAACTGAGAAAATATATAAAAATCAGATTTAGATTTATTTCCAGCTGTGACAAAAAAAATAAACAAAAAAAAAAAAAAAATGGGGAAAAAAAAAAGAGGAATATTCCCACCAAACCCATATTCTGTTGCTATCTTCTGCTTCCAGGATTGTGGTGCTTGAAGCTAGGGCTTTTTAGTTATTAACAGAGAGCATTTAAGCATAAAAAGTATAAAATGTATTCTTACTGTCGACTGCCCATATCAGAAGCGAAATCTACCAACCTGTCAGCCATCTCGGGGATGATGAAATGATGGTTACACCGGTGATCTGAAAAAAAAAAAAAAAAAAAAAAAATCAAGAAAATTGTAATTAGCATAAAAAATTTGATAGTAATGAATAAAACATATGAGAAGCATTATTAAAAAAGAAAATAAAAAGAATTAATAGAAGCAAGCAAGCAATAATAATAACAAAGATAATAATAAGTTAAAATTAAAGAACAATAAGATTCAAACAAAATCCCAATTATTAAATTCCTTTAAAGATGTAATGTTGCTATTCTATCCCTTATTTTCATGGCAAATGTCCAGACAAGCTACATTCCTTTGCTCCACCAGTTCAGACCTTCACATCTAGGAACCACCATGCTGCATACTCAGGGTTGACTCGTCCACATTTCCTTCATATTCCATTGGTAAGGAGGAAGTTTGTTTCTCAGAACTTACTTTAGGGAAAAGATGCTCAAGAATATGCTTTCCTGATTGCAACAATCTTAGCCTCATCAAGTCTAGGGACATCAGTTATCTATCCTACATATCCTCATGATATATATTTCTGACTTCCTCCCTTTATGTCCTAACAACATCATTCAATAACCCTCAACCTTGGGCTTTGTACTGAGTGACCAATGACATAAAAAAACAAAAATTAAAAAGACAAAAAAAATCATCATTAAAAATTAATGACTTAATTTTTTTTTTTAATTATGATTTGGCTACCATCAACAATATTATAACATAATTTTTTTAAACCTTCTTTTGCTAAACATTAATTGTAAGTGGTGAGCAAAACAGACAGCTTAAGATCTGAATTATGCACTGGGGATGTCAAAATCAAGCAGGTAGAGAAATTCAACATTGTGTAATAACATTTTCCTTTTTTAATCAGTTCACTCCAAACAAGGCAATAAAGCCACTAAGATGCATGAAGGTTGCCGAGAGTGAAAGAATATGAGAAAAAGTAAAAGATTATTTAAGGAGAGAAAAGGAATAACAGTAATTAAGAAATACTTGTTATTCCTTTAAATTTTTGAAGAAAAGTTGACTGGAAAGCAAGAAGTCTGAAGAGAGTTCCACAAGTGAGAAGTGTTAAAAGAAACTTAGCATAGAACTTATTATTACATCTAGTAATTTTAATTGTAAAATGATGAAACGTAGCTGCCAATCTAGTACTGCACTTAAATTCATAAAGTTGGGGTATCAAGGAGGAAAGCTCATCAGAACAATTACTATGAAAATATTTATAGAAAAGGTACAGAGAAGCTACATTATAGCAGTAGGAAAGTGACTGAATCTGTGATGCTAAGACAGGACTGATAACATTGCAGATTTTCTTTGGATTTTGTCAACACATAGCAGAAATACCCAACCAGATGTGGTAGCAATATTCAATGCATGGATGAATGGTAGACAGATTATAGAAAGTACAACAAAAATTCAAAGATGCATAGTACTAGCTAGACAGGAATTAAATTATTAAGAAATTGAAAAATATAACATTAGAAACAAGGTGCAGATTGCTATGTCAAGTGACTGAATCTGTGATGCTAGGTCAGGACTGATAACATTGCAGATTCTTTAACAAAGAAAAGAGAGATGGATTACTGTCATATCAAAACTTGTATATGACAATGAATACTGAAATAGTTCATCATAAATGAAAAAAGATTTTAGGCAATTAAGATGTGGTTTCACTGACAAATGTTAATAATACCATGGACGGAACATGTAACAAATGAAGAAGCTTTATAGAGAATAAAAAAGTACTAAGAAACTGTTGCCAACTATCAAAAAGAGACAACTGAATGTTTTAGGATACATAATGAGGAAAGAGAGTTTGGAAAATCTAATACTCACAAGGTATACAAATTAATTGAGGAATTAATACTACAAGTGAAAGGAGTTGGGGGTCAAGTAATACCATGAAGGCCATGATTGTCCATATGCAGAAGAGGCATGATATATAGAGAGGAAGAGCTTACAAGTATAGTATAACTAAAGTATAATATTACTATGATTTGTATATATGTGTTAGACATTTACCCACCAGTAAGGTAACTAAAGATTTATATTTATAAAGATTTATAAATTTTTTACTAAATTTTATTTAGTGTTGTTCTCTCAATGTAAACAGAATATACTGTTTAAAATAGGCTACATATGTTAATGCTATAAATAGCAAATAATAAAAAATTGGTTCTCATTTTGAAAACAGGCCTCAATTTCTCAAAATGATTATAAACCAATAAGAATGAAAATCTTTATTCAAATATCTCTGCTGATATTTATTTAATTCTATTTTCTTCAAATAATATGTATATAACAAAAGCAGTAGTGATGCAAGTGTTTACATTTACATCCTTCTTTTCAGATGATTTTTTAATAATTTTTTAAAAATTGAGTGTCAGCAACAATCCTAGATAGTAACATTTGCATCATTTCAAAATCTGAGAGTGAATCAATAAAGGAATTATCTACTTTTAGTATGAAATATAAGATTTCAATTTAATCTCTTTTTAAATGACAATTGTAACAAGTAATCATGAATGTGTAACCATTTTCTCAAAATGCATTAAATTTCATTTTAATGTTTCATGAAGGTCCCAAAAATTTAAAAATTGTATTTTCAATATTTACGAATGAATCCCTTTATAACACTCATTACATATATAATATTTTCTGTCAGTTGATAAATAAATAGGATATCATGTTGAAAAAAAATCAGAAGTAATTTTATCTCTTCAAATTCATTACTACTGATCTACCTTTTTGTAAATTAGTGACTTGGATCCGTATATTTCACTTTATTTTTTCTTTTCTTAAATATTGTTCATATTATCACTTTATATACATTAATGTCAACATTTATCAAATTAACCAAAAAATAGTCTTATTCATTTATCAAACTACAAACTTGTCAATTTAAATTGATTGTTTTTTTATGGCTTATCAAGCTTTTGCAGATTATTTAAAGTCAGAAAATATTTTTAGATTTTAAGAATTCTTTTGGAATAATAATGATTCACTGATACAAGTCTTACTAATTAAACCATAGCTGGGGAGAGAAGAGGCAGATTCATACCTTTCAAAAGGATTTTTGTATATATGTGACAAACCCAACTGGAATTGGAACTTTGCTCTGATTTCCAATTCCAATCTAGTATCCACACATTCAAGCTTACAGCACCAGTTATTCCCAAGTGGTTACCCATATACTGACCAAGCTCGATTAACCTTGGTGATTGTACAAGAACAGGTGTTTCAACAGGATATGGCCATAAGCTGGACAATTTAAAATCATGGCCAAAAAGCAAGCTAATCTGTTAAATTACCTATATGCAAAATAAACAATAAATTAAGTATTTTCAAATAAGAAATTATTCAAGGTGTGTTTTTCAAAGTGGAACATTTGTAAAAAGAAAATCTTACCAGGTTTCCGACCACATACAAAATAGGCTAGTCTGTCTGTTAATTCATATTGGCATTCCACCAGCCGTTGTGCTAGATCAATGTAACCTTCAGACCTATGAAGAGAAAACAAAGACTCATCATACTGAGACATAAAAACAGAATGCCTTTCTGCGGTGTTTCATTCTTTAGGAATAATTGAAGAAATAGAATTATGATAAAATTATTAATCAAAATAAATAACTGGCTCAATATTCAGGTGAAAGTGAGGTAATTAGCAATAGCGAGGTTCAGATCGCCAAAATCATAAGTCTGAGGTCATAATTTCAAGGATCAAAAATCTGTCTTGCAAATTCAACATCAGAAATTACCAGGGATATGATTAAAAGAGTAAAAATTTCACATCACAACTTGTAATGCACAACTACCTTCTTCACTCAGGAAGAGTCAAGTAATCCTGTGGTCCAAAGTAGTGTCCTTTTATTAAGATAAGAAAGGCTGTAATTGGTTGAGACAAGTAAGGAAGCACAAACAATTATCATATTTTGAGGCATACTAAAATCAACCCAATCTTGATTTTCTTTTCCAGCATTCAGCACAGAAATTTTACAAAAGCGGGCCATGGAAAGATATATGTTCAAGAAAATAGAGTTTACAAAAGTTATTTACCAAAGAGTTAATCTTAAAAAATTGAAAGCTTCCAAACAGAAAATCATACTCTTGTAGCAAATACAAATGCCATCAGGAAATTTTTTTATACAAATTTCATAAACGTGAAACAAAATAATCATGCCATAGAGAAAATTAATTGAATATTGATGAGCATGTCTTGTACCAAATAAGCACCATATCAGCATGAGGGAAATAATTCAATTGTTCCAGCACTTGTATTTGGTACACAGGAGTACAAGAAAAATAAAAATATAAATAAACTTTTTCTGCAAAATAAATTAGAATAAACAGTATTTTTAAAGTGAAGGATTGCTTCCCTTTGTAGTCTTAATCAGTTTAGATCTATAAACTGAGTAAGACTACAAAATTGGTGCTGAAAATTGTTAATAAAAAAAAATCATAACAGACATTATTTGTTTCTTTTCCAAATGGTCTACTTCAACAATTAATTTTATTAAATTTAATCAGTAAAGAAAGGCTGGACTAAATCTTTTGGATGACAAGAGTTTGATAATATTCGAAATTTTCTTGTTTGATTATTGACCTCATAACTTAAAAGCAAAATAAACAACTTTTCTTTGGTTAACAATTCAAAATTTTGTCTTAATACAAACGTGAAAATCTTAAAGAATAAAATGGATTTATGATTAGACTGATAAACAAACAGATACATATGTACACAACAAACAATAATATGTACTTACCTAGCATAATCAATGGGGGTTTTACCATTAGCATCCACACAGCCAGGGTCAGCTCCATAGACCACCAACAGCTCCACCTGAGACGATTGCCCACCTGCTGCAGCCACATGTAAGGGACAATTGTTTTTTTCCTTAAAAAAAAAAAATAAATAAATAAATTAATTTTAAACATATTTTAAAAAAAGAACCACCATTAGCATTTAGGAATTTTGATATTTATTTTTGTTGTTTATCAGAAAGAAAAAATATAGAGGATTAGTTTTTATCATTCTAAAATTTCCAATATTTACAGTAAATGGATTAAATTGATTTTCTTATTCCAATGAAACAATAAACAATGTGACAAAGGAGGAGACATGTTCATATTGATAATATTATGTTCCTTAAAGGGAATATAATATTACCAATGTGTTCTTTTTGTATTCTTCTTTTGTATTTTAATACAAGGGAAGAGCACAAGATAAAAAAAAATTAAGTCATAATAGGAAAAACAAAGTTTCTAAAAATAGGTTTATAGTGGCTTTTTTCATTGACAATTTAACTTGCCAGTTTCTTAATATTTGTGGTTAAAAAACAATAATTAATTGAAGTTTTGTAACTAGGGATCCGTCCTATAAGCAATATTGCCTCGAAGTTTGGCAGGGTCAGGTACATGCTCTGATGTCTGCAATTGCCAAAAAACAGGGTTATTTTTCATTGGCCCACCAATGACATGTAGATATACAGCTTGCCCTATGCCAAAAATTGCCAAATGTCACATTCTGCTGTCTTACTGCAGTGGTAAATAAATACATCATAAAGTGACAAACATGAAACCACAAATAAAAAAAAGAAACTGTAATTAATAGAATAATGAAAGTGCCAAATTGATCTTATAAAAACTGATGTGTGTGTGTGTGTGTGTGTAAAAGAATGATAATCTTTATTATTAGCGACTGAGAGACATATTGGGGATAAGGGGTAGTGGCTGAAAAGTTTTGTTTTTTTTTCCACCCTAACCAAGTGCGTTCAAGAAAGAAAGAAAAAAATCTGATGTTTGGTCATTTGGTCAGATTTTGGAATGTAGATTGGGAATTTTCAGCAACCCATCATACAATAAAATGAGAAATTCTTATCTATTCCACATATGTAACTGCAAATTTATTGAATTTCTAAAAATATTCATCCACTTCAATAACAATGTAAACTATAACCAGGATAAACATTAGCCTACTAGACATCAACTCTGCAGGAGATATTTTTGTAGCCTTTTTCTTGTGGGGGGGTAGCATTTTATGTTGGGGCTGGTAAAAAAACAATACCTGTTCTAATTTAACTTTAGAAACATTAATCAGACTTCCTAGGAGATTTTTTAGTTATAAACCATAAATTATCTTGAAGAACATCAGAAAAAAAAAATTGTGGAATTACATTCTCTTTACCTATTCATAATCCCCTTTCAAAATAATTGACCCTTTGGAGATAAGTAGGAAGCAAAGAATTGACATAGAATTTCTTTTTATGGAAGGAGAAAATGAGGCAAACACTCACAGGAGATTAGTGAATGTTTATGGAAAGGCTGCACTTGATGTAAACAGAAGTAAAGAGATGAGTCTAAGTGACAGATCACCTGCTGTTGACACTTTAATTAGAGGTGACAGAATAATCACAATTGCAAAATTCTGTGAAAATCTTCAGGTGAGCCATGGTAGTGCCTGCAGTTTAGTGCAGTCTCTTGGTTACTCAAAGATATGTACAAAGTTGGTTTCTAAAATGCGTCAGACTCCATAATGAAACAGAGGATTTTTGCCTCCCAAAATATTCTGGAGCAGTACATTATGAACAGTACAGTAGTTTTCTAATGATGATGAGTTAAAAGAGGCAACTCGCACATGGCTAAGAAAACAGTCAAGAAGATTGTATGAAGTAGTTATACATGCCCTCTTCAGGTGGTATTATCACAAGTGAAATGGAATTAGATTTGTAATTTTGAAACTTATCTTCATTTTGGTATACTTTGTGTACATATACTATTAAATCTGTTATAATTAAAGAATAAAAAGTATTACTTTGTGACTAATTTTCAAATGCAACCAATAGCTTGATCTACTATTTTATTGAAAAGGACATTTTTACTTGTTGCACCAATTTAGTAAAAAGAAGTTGGTTTTTTTTTGGGGGGGGGGTATCATTTCACACCATGCAAGGTGAACAGGTTAATAGGAGCAGATAGCTTCACCTGGCCAGTACTCCTTCCATGTCTATTGAACAGTAGTAGAAGTTCTTGTTTCCTGTTTAGGATTAGGGTTTACCAGTTCTTTCTTCCATGGCCATAATGATTTAACCATCTAACTTTTTGGTGATCTGGCTGATCAATGGCTGGAACTTTTCATTATGATGGTACTGGATTGGCAATTTTCTGGTTGCTGCTTCTGTTAGAAAAGAGCCCAAACACTTTAGTAGTGCTTAGAGATGCTGTTCTGATCAACAGTCACATAATATCAGGGTATTTGTAGTGCCATCTCATGCATGGATAGGTGTCCCTGCATGTATTTCAGGAGGGCAAACCTGAGGTCACATTATGCATTCATCTTAGCCATCTTCTGGCCAGTTTGTATTGCAATAGACCAGGGGTCGGCAACTCATTCGATTCCGCGGGCTGGATCCTGTTATAATGACAAGTCGCGGGCCGGACGAAGTTCATTAATGAAAAATTAAAGAAAAATACATTTGCAGACCCCTGTCAACCTAAATATTTAAAACCATAATGAAAATAAACATTGAGAAATCAGAAAAACAAAAGAAAATCTAAAATTAAAAAACACCTAACAAAAATTACTTTTCCTCAATGAACGTCAAAATACTTCAAAGTGAAAAAAAATCAACCAAAGTGAAATGGATGAAATTATTACGTGTAGGTTTGAAACTGTTATTGAAAATTGTTCCACAAACGAACCACACACACACACACACACACACACACACACACACACACCAAACAAAAACAAAGCACATATACCCATACATACGAGTACAAATAGTTGCAAACATATACACTTATGTACATACATATGCGGTATCATCCACACATTCATGAGGCATGTATGTATAATGCACGTATGTTTAACAGTCTTTCTGCTACCTCGCTGCGATGGCGGGGATGGGTCGCTGTTGGAGGAATGAATTAGGGACAACATTGTCTCTTTGAAGCTGTTGCCAGTCAGTCGGTCGAATCGGCCCAAAGTTTTTTTTTTTTTTTTTTTTTTTTTTTTTTTACACTGAAATGAAGGTGATTGGGTTTTGATAATGTTTTTGCGGTCATAGTATTCAAATTCGGTTGGGTGGATCAGAGGAAAATAACAGCAGGCCTTTTGTCAAATTCGAAAACCTCATCTCTCATGTTAAAAATAGAGTCATTGGTAATCAGGTCAAAATGCCGGATCCGGCCCGCAGGTTGCCGACCCTTGCCATAGACGATAGTGATAATTATTTTGGCCTTTCTTTAAAAACAAAATTTTCTTATGACAGATACAATGAGAAGAAATACAAATAAAGCAGTAAATTAAAAATAAACTAACCACCCACCCATCTCCACCTATCTTTCTCCACTATTCATGGAATACATGCCAATTTCTATAGTGTAGAATTTTTTTCTCTTGAAATTTTCTCCAGATGTTAAATAATAGCTTAGCAGACTATTATTTTTAGGGGGACATGTATTGCTGCTCTGACTTCCTGGGGTTGACCTTTGAGGTCAAATGGTTGTCAAGGAAGGACCCTGACAACCAAAAAGGAATTGGTCAAGTGGCTTGTGGGGTGCCAGGTCATGGTAGACAACTAAGGGAAGAAAACCCTAGTAACCACAATAGAGCCAGTAATGGATTAGTTAGGAGGTGCACAACAGGTGTGGTTGTTTTCCTCATGGGGGGCAGCCAAGGGCAGAAGGATTTGAGATGGTGCAAGTTGAGTTTTGACACATAGAGGCAGATATTCATAGTAATTATAGAAAATTAATGGTACTAAATTTGGGAAGATTTGTTTAAATCTGGTTATACACAAATACAAAAGTAATTGGTTGTGGTTGAATAAATAGGGTGATAATGGACTGTGTGTGCTGTGTCACTGTAAATAGAAAATAAGTATAAACCATGGTATATTTAAAGTGCAAAATTTAGGTGGCAAGGATGTAGCTCAGTTATGAAATTGTTTGATGCTGTGGTGTGGGGCTTTTGACATGTGTGATTTTTTCGACCAGTACTTTTTTCTTTGAATTGTATGTAAATTTTCTATTGTCTCAAGTGAAGAGGCAAGGAATTTTGTTGTCCCCAGGAATATTTTATTGCAGAGGTAGTACCTGCTGACCTGGGTGGAGGTAACACATCGGAGAGATCAAAGTTCACTGTTGGGGTGATTTGTATCCAAACTGAGGCATTGACCTTGGCTAGTGACCAAGAATGGACCAAAGATTGTCTGGTATTTTTTTTTTGTTTAAAAAAAAAAAAAAAAAAAAAAAGAGGTTTGTGAAGCATTAAAAAAACTGGTCAGAATTTTGTTGTTTATGATCATTCTTTTTCAGGAATGGTATATGTGCATGCCAGAGGGGTCATGTGACTGAAGCCCAATGAAGAAAAGAAATGAAAGGAGCACGCCTTGCAGACACAAAAGAGTAGAGGGGATTTTAGAGTAATATAGTTGAAATAAAAGTCATAAATGAATATTTTTTTTAATGATTAGGTAAGGTATGTTAAATAATAGTTTAGCAGGCTATTATTTTTTTTTAGAGGAAGTGTATCGCTGCTCTGACGTCCTGAGGTTGAGCTCAGATGGAAGACAAAACAAGGAAGTCGATTTTGATTGGCTGAGCCAATGTGAGAACAATAGGGCCTTCAGGGAGTTGGTTCTTACATGTCAAGCAATGTAGACATGTTTATTTTCGTATCTGGAAAAGGTTAGATAAGTTAAAATTTCCTGTTGAAGTTCTTTCCACCATGAATCAAAACAACTAGCGATCACCACCCAAGAAAAAAGAATGCAACTTTATGATCAAAACACTGTCACCAAAGAGCCTCACCAAGGGGCTATGCAAAACAGATATCTTTGCAAAACTAATTTAAATTCTTCTATTACTACCAATGAATTCTCTATTCCAGGC